GCCTGGGGGAAACACCTTACTGCCTTCACACTCCTGTCGCAGAGGACAGTACGACTTTACCTCCAGGCCGCCTCGTAGTACGGGGTCTCGCTGCTCTTGGTCTGGCTGCTCCCCTTTGGCCTTCCTGGCATGGTTGAACCTTGTGGAACGAAGTTCCAGCCAGTGTAGCCCGCGGGATCTTTGCAGCACTGGAGCCCGACCACCACGTCAAGGTGGCAGCTTTAGGTCGGGCGTGGTTCGAATCCGACCTCCGCCACTCGACTTCTCCTGTCTAGGCTTGGGCAACCTGGCAGTATCCTAGCCCTCGTTCTTCCTTCGGGTGGCATAGCAGCTAGGCACCGGAAGGGTGCTACAGCTGAACGCTTTTTATGTTTCGGGGCACTGCCTGAAGTCCTTGATTCAACAATCCGACTCGCTTGGCTGTGCAGGATTGGTCTAGCCCTAGGCTACATGCATAAATATCTCACTCCTGCAGCAGGAGCCGCGTCCATCTGTTGTTAAGCTCCAGTTGTATTCCGACGCAATACGTAATTCCGTGTTGATCAGCTTTAGGGATCGACCTTTTCTGACTCGTTCCTTCCTCTTGGGGAAGGTAGACTTGTTGCTGCACATACGCCCAACGGCAAAATCTGGTATGTTAACTTTGGTCGAATTAAACAACATGCCTTAGTCGACTTTCTCCAAAGGAAAAGCGACTAGGTGGTCTGTCCAATGTCTGCACACGACGTACAGAATGGCAATGGATCTCTTGCCCTATATACTTATACAACACCTACGTGCCTTTGCACTGACCCAACGCGCCGTTCAAGCGAAATAGACATAAATGTCACCTCCGTGTCATAACTATTAATCTAGGTAGATCACTTCGTTAATGTCTGTATGTGACGATACAATCTGAGAAACTGTTGTCTATGTTGGAGTGACCCTCCAGAGTTATACCCTGACATTCGTGCCTGTTCGAACTCCATTCGCTTCCATCTACTGGTAACTTTCCACCCGACTAGCAAGGTGATCATCAAATTACATCGAGGGAAACCCGCTCCATGTCTCACCTTGCGAGACCATGGGATGATATTTCAACGGCGTTGCAGGCTGCATCTCTGAGATTTAGCGACGCGGAACCCTATGCCCCAGAAAAGTGTTTCTCCCGTAAATCGATATTTTGCTAGAACACTATCTCATTTCGATTAACTCGGCATGCGACAAAAGATGAAAAAAAAACTGTTAAGCACTCCTTGAAGGGGCCTTGTTAATTTTCGCCTCAAAAATGGAGAAGGCTCTCTCTTATTGTGTTTTCCTATACCCACACTTTCCGAAAACAATGCTAGTAAATTCATGTGCCGAAAATATAGCGCCCTTTTTCATCACTTGTCCCAAGCCTTGACGCATGGGTGGGATGGTTAGGTTTATTTGCCCAGAGCTAGCCACCCCTAAATATCACACAACACCAGGTCTTGGTTCTTGTGTTGATGGGGTAAGGAGGGCGCCGACAACCAGGGTAAAAATGAGGACGATCAGGGACCCAGAAGATGGACTTTATTCATCCAAAACTTTGAAATCACCAGCTGAAAGGACGAAAAGCGATTTAACAATGAACGATGAAGCGCTTTGAGAAAACAGCAAATATAGACATTAGTACTTGCCTTTGGAATCCTAATTGACATCAAAATGGAAGCTGCTGAAACGAAACGGAACCCCGGAATCAGACTGTTTATATACATTGTCCGAAGATGGTCTTGCTTCTACCCGATCAAACTTTTCGTGATTTATACTGCAACTCACAAGTTTCGTCATGCGTGGGTTTGAATGAATAAGAGTGCCCACACTAAAGAAGGGGTTTGATTCCGTCCTGACTCCGGTTGTATTGATCATGTTTTCACACAGCAACTGATGCACGCAACAGCTGACGCTTTAGTATTTCCGGACCTGAAGGCTTCTTTCAGCAGTCGCTTAAAACACCCTTTGGAGCTGTTTGTCTCACAGGGGTACACGAATGGAATGATGAGGCTATTCGGACGAGTTCTTCGAGCATTGCCTACTTCAGAATAGATCCACCAAAGATCTCTATTCCATTTAGACCTCGTGACTGACCACGCACTGGAAAGGCTATCAAATGCTTCAGATCCACCGAAGTGGAGCTGACGTACTAAAGGCGTTAAGTACACATGAAGCTGTCCGTCGCCACAGGTGCAATTTTAAAGAAGGGTAGGTCCCTACTGAACGCACTTTATATAGTCACTTTGGGGGACTAGGTCGGGGACACCGACTCAACACAGAATTTGATTTACTGGACAGGTGCAGATGCGTGACGAGTGCCGTATCTTTCTATTATCAAACTGCAGGTCGTGTGGCCTGCAGAACAAGCAAAGCACTCTCTGGCTTTGCTTTATGCAAAGGTGCCAAATTTTGTATCAGATACTGAGTTTATGGTACCTGTATGTGGTCACTTCTGTATGCTTCAAAAATTGACCTATCTACGAGGTAGTCGCATATAAGCTTTCAGTTTCCCATAATCACTGTCTCCACTGACTGTACTTTAACTAGTTAAATCATCCAGCGAGATGGTAGAAGGCCAAATGCATCCCCAATAACCGGTCCACTGAAATTGGACGATCCTAGCTCACTTGCCCATGCTGTTCTAATGTAGAAAGAGTGACCGTTACTTTGGGTGCTTTTCCCAAAGCTATTGTTTTCATGAATGGGGATGGAAAATGTCTGCACTGTAGTGTGAGAAAACGGATTTTTATATTTACTCTTGAAATACAGCATTAGTGGTTTTAGGCGAGAACCGTATAGTTCCCCCGGGGTTTTTTGAACTTCAGGGGTGGTAGTGCTCACTTTGGTGGTGGCACCCATTGAAGTATTAAAGGGGATAAAAAGACGTGGCAACATGTATACTGTTTTGACAACTTGTCCTACTATTCCATCAAATGAAATGTAACACACGTGCTTGAATAAGATTCCTACTTTATACTTCGTCAATACTGATTATTTGAACCGTCTTAATCAAGTGTTCAGAACAATTTAGGCAGAAGAAAGAAAGAAAGAAAGCGTTCAGCTGTAGCACCCTTCCGGTGCCTAGCTGCTATGCCACCCGAAGGAAGCACGAGGGCTGGCATACTGCCAGGTTGCCCAAGCCTAGACAGGAGAAGTCGAGTGGCGGAGGTCTGATTCGAACCACAGACCTCACGGTCGATAAATTTGCGCTCTAACCACTTGAGCAGATGCTCCGGTTGCACGAGAGTGATCTGAACGTTTGTTTCTCCAGCCAGTGAACAAAGTAAAACACAAAAGCGATAAGACGTTTGTCTTGCTTCCCGTTTATTTGCACATATTGAAGATACATCTCCCACCACATTCACAACGGCCAAAACACAACCTCAAGTTTTCCAATCGCTGCTAGGTCATCACCGTAATTTATTTGACTTTTCTCTTGATTTACCAACTGCACTAAACTACTTAAAGTCATTAGAAGCTTCAGATCAGACCCCGTACCCAGTTCGTTCCACGTTGATACATGTGAGCCTCTCTCTCCTGGGTCAACCATTTCTCTGTTCCTTCCTGGCTTCCGCTATGTAGTAACGGTAATTTTCTCAGCTTAGTTCTCGGTCTGAGCCTCCCATGCTTGCGTTCACGTCAAAACAACCACCAAAGGCGCACAAGGTATATCAACGCCCAAAACGAAGTCAGGAACACTTGTACAGCGTTTCATGTATATAGCGTAGGTGGCAATAACTTTCTGGAAATTTGGATGCGTTCTGGATGCGGCATTGGCACCCGGCACTGGCCAATGCTGGGTCATGGTTGGCTTTTGGGTCCAGACTTTTGACCAATCAGATCTCGGCCTTATGCCGGAGCGGTGAGCATCCCGAGTTTTGGGTCATTCTTGCGTGGGATAGGCTTCTCGGCCGTAGCAGCATCTGACTGCGAGCGATAAAGCGGGATCCGTGTGGAATTCTGCCTGACAGCTTAGTATTTACCTCCATGTTTTTTTATCCGTGTGAACGTTGCCACGACTATTCACTAGATTAATCAACCTCTAGTTTGGTGGAGTCTGTAGACGAAACGTCCTCCCCAGTTTCTCCCCTCTGGGAGTGATCGTCTTCATATGAAATCGTCAGTGCTTATGTGGATCTCACCTATCAAAGGCGTGTTCGAACTACAGTATGGCGGGTCCGTATGACCACGACTGCCCTGTTGAGTACAAACTGCACCCATGTTACTTGACAGACTGAAGCTAATGACGTTAGCGTTCTATTTCTCAAAATCCGGTTCTAAGAATGGTCCACATCGATTTTTTTCATGTCTGTGAGGTGAAAAGCTCATTCTAAGACAATTGGGGTCTTTCTCATTGAAACATTTCCGATAAGAAGACCCTTGATTCACGTCAATGTCTGCCTTTTCTTATGAATGATGGTTTCCAAAGCTCCTATTATTCACCACATAATCTAATTTGGCATGAAACAAATTTTCGTCTCCATTTCCTCCTGTATTCTTGTATCATACGTTCTGAGATGGTTTTTTGTTTGTTTTAGCCATGGCGGAGGCAGTTGAGAGGAACCTAGAGAATTCGTTAAATGAGGTTCTGTACATGAAAAAAGCAAAATTGTTCAGGAAGTCTGAAATCAAGTGAGTAGAAATCCTCGGAGTGAACTTCATTTTCAGATGTTGCCAACAGTTTTTGGAAAGAAAGGTTGGACTCTAAACATTCCTACTTGATCTCGCGATTAGCATTAGTAGCGTAATTCGATTTCTGCGGCAGATTTCAATCATGACTTAGAGTACTGCCCGTCCATTCGACCTTGTAGAAGCAAGCAAAATCGTCTAGAGATGTCATACATTTAGTATACGCAACCATAGGGTCGCTTAAGAGGTGTTCACTATATTGCTGGATGCTTGATAATGTGGGGTTTGTATCATGGGGTACTGAGGTTTTGTTGCTGGCAATTGTGAAGGCTTTGGAGAGTGTAGATAACCACCGCGATGTGTGTTCAACAATTTCGCCGCGTTTGGCAAAATCACTGGAACTAATTCGATTCATTGGTGGTTCATCATACTCCCAGAGAGGTGACCAACCCTTGAATTGACAGAAGGTTATGAAAGAGATTACGAAACTCCTGGCTGCTGTCGGTGCCGCTCGCCTCACAGGATCAGGACCGCGTGGTCCCCACTCTGCCTGGTTGGGAACGTTTCAAGATATGGCTGCCAATCAAGGCCAGTGGTGTTCTTGTTGTCAGCTTCTATCCAGATTGCCTGAATGAGTGTCTGGAGGTGTATGTACCTCAGAAGGATTGTCGTAAGCTAGCACTAAGCCCCTTCCCCGTCCACCTTTCTTCTTCTTCACAATATGGATTTCAAGTGAATCATGTTTGTACGGGGTCTCAGTGTTGAACAATGATGTCATGCTGTCCATAGTGATGATGATGATGTGCCGGTTAGGTTAACGCTATTTCACTCTGTAGCATCATTCTGTTCGAATTGCTTCGGAGAATGGAGACTTGTTTTTTATTATATGTGCTACAACCTTTCCTTAAATTGGCACAAGACTTACACAGTCACACGGAACCCAGTTTGAGCGGTGAACTCTGTTCTCTAAATGGCTGTCTAACTGAATAGTTTCCATTATGATGCACTGTAAATAAGCTTCACTTATTTTTCGTACCGAGTCACGAGGCTTGTCTATCTATGGTTCACTCAAAAACTTTCGTATAGCTTATGTTGCAGATAGTGTAGTTATACTTTACGCATCGCATTATCTGAATCCTTCCAGTTGGAATTTGTCTCACCACTATGCCCACTTTTCTTCTTTCGATTCAGCGTAATAATCCGCAAACGCAGACAACACGAATACGCTTTGCAGAAGCGAAACAAACGCGTTTTAGACTTCGATGCATACATTGCCACAGAGCTCACCCTACTGAAGCTGCTCCGATTCCGTCGTCAGGTTAGTGTGCACATATGTTCCATACAACTGGGTTTGTCGATCTGCTCGACAGGAAACGAGTGAGCGCCGATTCCTGGATAAAATCGAGCGATCTATTATCTCACGCCTTGTGCGGCTTCACCGCGTAAGTTCCGGATTCCTACCTGTAAATTGAAACTTCACCTTAGCAACTGTGTTATCGGTTTCAGTCTCGTATCGATGTATGGATCCGGTTTATCGAGTTTTGTAAAATCCTTGGTCGTCACATATCTGTTGTTCGTCTGTGGAACCGTCTGCTTCAAGTGCATGGTCGAACAGAGCCTCGGCTGTGGGCTTCAGCGGCAGCGTATTGTTTGCAGGAAAACACCACGGCCAAGATCCGTTCGAACATGCGAAAGCTGTCAACCGAAACGAGTCAGTTGAAGGAGCAACACAAAAAATTGAAACTTGAACTGCAAGCCTTGACTCGATATGTGAACAGAACGGATCAAAAGAAGATCGAAACTGTAATTTCCGATCTCCGTGAGTGCTTGGCCTTGTTTAACTAGGCTGTATCGATGTTTACGTCTATATAACTCTTATGGAAGTTGAGTGCTGTTAAACGTCTACAAGGTTATCTCGGCTCTGGTTATTAAGTTTCTTCCAGTATTTGTAGGAAGAATGGTGGGGAAACATACCTGTGTTCGGCAGCCTCGCTGCAACCCCCAGTATATCAAACCACCAATTAACCAAGCTTTCAGTACTATGGATCGGAATCTTTCAGTACGGTGTAGTGGGTTCCTGACTCATGCAAACCGTCCCACGACGATAACACCTAGTCTCTTTGTGACGTAGAAAGACTCTTGATTGGAGCCTAGCCTTAACTTTTCGCCTATTTCTGTTTATGTTCAGTCGGTGTCTAACCCACCTCGTTTCACAACGTCTGCATAGTGACTTCACGTCGTATGTCTTTGCCACGTCAACGACCTTTTAATAGTACTTTGTGTTTGGATTTCCTGGTTTTGTCATCTGTGATTGGAAGCGTACCAAGTGACGGTTTCATATCTTGTCTACATGATAGCAGAAGTAGTCCACATGTTTTACGTAGTTTCACATGTTCGATGCGGTCGTGTCTTTCATTCTTGTCTGTCTGGAGTAGCAGGCAGTCTTCAGACTGTTCGTTTGGGGTCCGGGTTACACTGGCCTCGAAAATCCGCTCCAAAAGTCATCTGCTAATTCCACCACTTTCGTCAAGTTTATTTTCTGTCCCTTTCGTTAATCAGTCCTATCTGTTGGTACCTATCCACACTGAAGTTATGCTTACTAATGTCCACTGTCCAGAAATGACAAACACAAAAGGAGAAGAGCGACATTGAGACCAGCTTGCAGTTTCGCTCTAGTTCGCAAGGCCGATCATGCGCTGTTTAACGTGTTTTTCCTGTTGCAGGTCAGACCAAATTACAGCTCAGTGAGGCGACAATGGATCTGGCTCGTGATCGGCGCCTGGTGTGGGACCGAGTGTGCTTGGAGGCCATTCGTGAAGCCCGACGATTACTCACAGAGGGTATCGCGTTGAACCCTGAGTGTAATTTGCTCCATCTTGAACTGGTGAAACTGGAAGCATGTTCTACCGACTTCTTCAAAACACGAGTCATGGATCGAATGGATCATAGCGTGGAAGGAGACGTTGATCTGCCGACTGATGCAGACAATTTACGAAAACGTCGAAAACAGTTGAAGCGTTTGAAAAAAGCAGCTGCTCAGGACAATGCACGATTTGTGAGTTTTGTTTTATCGTTCCTCAGCTAAACAGCTTTTACGATCTAACGCATTAGCGTGGGTGTACATGAACCTTTTTGGAATTTGGGGTGTATTTCTGAAGCCATATTTGTTATCCGCCATTATAGGGTTGGTGCTACCTGGTACCAAGGTATAAGTCATCCGCTGCCGGTGTCTTACTGGGCCGGGTGACTGAATTTCTTCCCTTGTAGTGTCTATTCCCCGGATGGTGTAGCAGCTAATACTTATTCTTCTTAGGATTAACGAGCTTTTCTTAAGAGGAGGCCGTGTTTAATTCAACAACAAAAGTACCTGCGAAGATCTCCAGGATGAGAGATTTATTTGGTCCCCGAAATGTCCAACCAAATTAGACTTTTCCTCTTATCGGCATTTCTAGCTTAGTTGTGGGTGGTTGAAAGATTTGCAGAGTTCATGCTCACATCAGTCGTCCTCCTGTCCTGGCGCAATCATTCTGAAGAATCCACACCAAAAGGGATAAACACTGGACTCGAGTTTCGCTCTTATTGGAGCCTATCAGTAGTGTATATTCTTGGCCGTTCTGGGGTTTTATCTCCGAGCAGCTGACATTCGAAGTGGGCGTATCTCTACTGATCCGCAAACTATTCCGAACAGACGACGTGATCACGCTTGACTGATGTGACTGGTAGGCCCAACGCCATGAACGATGACCCATTAACATGCCTTGGTTGTGTCGATCGATTAGCCTGCCTATCAAAACTTCCCAGTCATGTAGCACCATAGACGCTTGCGGGATAATTTTGGATTCGTTCCCAATGGTTGTGGGACTTGTTAAATACACGCTCACATCACTCCCATTTGAACAGTCATCCTCCTGTCCTGGCTTTTTGACTACTGTCAACCATAAGACCACTCAATTATACTTGTTTAACAGGTGAAGTTGATTCATCGGGGGATTTTTTATGTCTATATGTTGCTTTGGTCAGACAGTCTGGCTACTCGTGAATACTGGAGTCATTCACCCTTCACTTCAAAGCGTTCCGCTTTTTTGCCAATGAGCACAACCAAGTTCACACCAGTTGAGCTAAACGGTTGGTCTCAGTTCAGATTGATTTCGTGGAAAGAATTGACGCGCATATTGTTTAGTTATGGGGAAAATGTTTCCGGACGTTACGACAAACTATCCTTAAACATCACTCCATTGTTGATTTGTGGGAGGTGATGCTTCTTTTTGCCTAAGAGGTGGCCCTTACGGGGGACTGTTTCATCACTAATCGCTGATAATTACTTACGGGAGGTCAGCATGTGTGCACTCCTCTCTGAATGTTCACTTAGTTTCTAAATTACCTCTAGTAGTCGAGCTGTATCACGATAAACTTCGTTCATTAGCTTATATGTGATCCCTCATCTGGTTCGTAGATGGCTGAAGTGACTGAGGATATCACTTTCGTGACTTCTGGTAGTGCGCTGAAATTGGTCGTGGAATCGGTCATGGATCGGTGGCCTGATGACTTGAAGACACTCGAATCACTGCAACAGATTGTTTCTGCTGTGCCAAATTTAATGGATAATGCCACACAAACCCGGTTGTTGTCAAAGTGAGTTGTGATTTTACAAATCTCCCTCATTCGGTGGCTCCCACCAGTCTTGGTACTCTAATGGAGTCGGATACCATGTTGCTTACTTAGTCTGGCTTCAACAACAGTCGGTCATGCATTTGCCGAATCGCTCACGCTGGTTTTCTATTGCAACATCCTCCAGGTTACAAGAGCTCCAAAACAATCCTAAACAAAGAGAAACATCGAGTGAACAGGTAAGTTATCCTTGCTGTTTTGGGGAGTCTTGTTTTCCGTTGACTGCTTCGAATATTACACTTGTTCGCAGGCGCTTCGTGTGCTGCATTAGATTGGTCTTGTCATCTGAAATCCGGAAGGTCGCACACTTCGAAGAGCTTCTTCTGCCCAACTCTGTGTGAGATCTAAATGACACCAGTGAGTTCAAGTTATGAATTGGCAGCATAAAGGCCATAATAAGCAAATTTGATCGCATAGGCAACTCCCCTGACTATGACTAGAGGGCCCGGATGGAATACTTGAAATACAGTTCAATACAGGCAACTTCTGCGTGGTTGAACAACAGTTTGTTCATGTAGCTTTTAAACACCTAAGAGACACATGACTTCATTCTACGGCACGACCCTTCTGTTAGTATTTACAATCTGTGGTCTTGCACGTATGACGTTCAACCGTAAGGTTCTTTTCCGCGGGTGAATGTTTGAGTTCCCGTCACGTATATATATATATATCCACAAATTTGTAATACCAGGAATCACGTGCGAAGGTTGTTCGAAAACTCACGGGTACATACTCTAAAGAAAATTAAGGGGCGGGGTGGGAGGTGCACGGGTCAGTGAGTCATGGACTCAAGTGAATGACGTTAAACAAGTTTGTGGAGCCGGATTTTTCAGAGGTCGCTCAAATTTCCATAAAGGAAACTACTCACAAGGTTGCTGAAAACTATTCGACCACGTGTTATCTCGAATATTATACCCACTGAAACACGGCGGCCTTTGTGCACCACATTCAGCTGAAGAATATCATAAACGAAGATTCATCTGAGTCTCCCTTGAGAATTGAATTGATGTTCAACTCAGTGAGTTTGTCGCACAAATTTCTTTTAGGCGCAGAATTACGGGTATTAAAGTCAGATCCTAGTCATCTCGGCAATCGATAATAGGCTTAATCGTACCAGCCTTGCTGGGTTCATGGGTATTCAGTATATGAAGTCGAAAGAGCTCGTCTCAGCCAAAGGGACCAATCACAGAAAATAAATTTTGTTCGGTATCTTCGTTATCCTCATTAATTCCTTAAGTATATCAATCAACTGATATATATTCAGTCAGTTTTTTAGCTACATGCCGTGTACCGAAGTACCGTGGTTCCAGATGCTACAGCTTCGTTTACTGCAGTTATGGAAAATAAGGGATGAAAGCGACTATCCAATCGGTTCATTGACGTCCAATTATTGTTCGTCCGATGTAGCAGGTAGTGGGGAAGCTACGCAGTAAAGTCAAGAGCTTTCATTTAAAATCGCCATTGACTGCTTAGCATAACCACACCTGTCAGGGTCGCTAGCCATTGGTTAATCTCACCCAGTGGTACCCATCCAACTATCAACCCGACTAAATTAACTGGCGAGGGCTTTTGCGCTTCGTTGCCAAGTAATGATATATTGCGTATTTTCGAAGTAAGTTTATTCAAACGCATGCCTTTTTTTGTTTCTCAGACCAATTCGTCTAGCGACGATGACTTGCGGAAACGTTTGACTAATTACACAACTCAGCTCTATGAAACCGTTTTACGTGATGGACTGTCAGTTGCCTTGGATCTTTGGAACTCCTGGTTTATGAAGGACGAACACGGTCCGATGAAAGGAGATCAGTTCAGATTTATCAACCCTCAGATCCCAGAAGCGGTTGGCCTTCTCCGAATTCGTTTACTTTTGCATTCCCTCAACGTTTCGTGGTCTATCGTGGGCCAGATGGACACAGAGATAATGCCGGATCGGTCATTGCGGTATAAGGATACAGAAGCTGAACAAAAAACCAGGGCCTGGTTGGATTCACTAGCCACTTCTCCGTGGGGTCATCTCAGCCCTGGTAGGTTTTACTGTATGCGTTTCTCTTTCCCTAACATAACATTTACCTGTTTATCGTGAAACCACATTACTTAGTGCTCCGGTACCAGAGTACACACGATACGAGCGGCGTATGGGGCGCCATCCACTTTATGACTGGAGTAACCCTAGATCGAAACGTTGTTTTTACTTCGTATTCGGTACAGTAGGTTGCTGTTCTCTCTCAAGTCCTGCAAAGTGGCCAGCTCTCTTGTTTTTTTCCTCACGTAGCCTGCCTTGTTGGGAAAATTCCAAACCACCTACCTGATGAGCCCTAAGAAAGGCGAAACCGGTCGTGGGCTGTCGAAGGGTTTTCAGCAACCTCGTGAGTAGTTTCCTATATGAAAATATACTGCGATATCTCGAATATCGTGCCAACTGAATCGTGAGGCGGCCTGCGTGCAGCGCATTCAGTTGTAGAATAGCATAAACGAGAGATTCAGTTGAGTCTCTCGTGAAAACCAAATTGATTTGCAAATGAGTGCATTCCACATTAAAACCTGTTTGTAACTCGACCCCGCACTCTCCTCAGCTTGGTATTTCACTTTATGTGGTCTTATGTTTTGCTACTTGGGACTAACAATGTAATCTTGACCATACTTTGAAGCACTTGTGTGCATGTATGATCAGTTCCACGCGCAGGGTGATGGCCGGCCAATCTTTAAACTCTGAAGTCCTTCCTCCAAGGTGCGTCCTCGTATTGATTCGATGGCACTGTTGACCTCCACATCATCATCGAGTTTTCACTGGATGTTCAAACTGAACAACCAGAGCCGCAGCTTTGAATGTGGAATGGCGTGTGCACAAGGTACTTTTCAATCTGGGTGACAAGGATTCTCCTATGGAAGCATCTCTATCGTAGTACATACTCTGGACTGGATCATTTTGTGCCCTTCTGTATATACATATATATACTACTTATGTGCATCTAATGCTTAGGATTTGTGCTGTTTTTTGGAGCTTGTAAACTGGCCATTGCGTGGCCACGCCGACTGTGGGTATTGGATGAATATTTTAATTCCAAATCTAGTCGACTTGTCAAGCAGTCCAAAGGCAGGTGAGGATTGTTTGACGATTTACAAGATGTCTTTATTTGATAAACCCCACCGCTGAATTCGGGTGTGCTGAACTAGGCTACGATCACCTTTATTCTGTGATGGGTTTTCTCGTTGGAGTGTGTGGAGAAGAGTCGTTTCCATCACAGTCATCAGTTTCCATCCTCACCGTCATTCTTTCCATAGCTGACCGTTTCCGCAGCGCTGAAAATCATAACGAAGGAAAGGAAAACAAAACAGCATGATAGCCCCTAACAAACATTCTGAGGCTTCACAATTCCCATTAAGAAGTTAGATAATATAATCGCTACCATATCGTTCTCTGTCCCTATTCACCTACGGAGAATATCACACCAATGATTTCAACACTGTTCGAAAATGTCTTCCCACCGATTCGACGCACCCACCCATTACTAACCGAACACAGCAAATGCACCCAAGCTACCAACACACCTGGCAGTTGATGCCGCCGGGTGCATTTTCTACTTGAACTTCTGGCTGCTGACCACAAATATTCACCTGCTTTTTGAACTGTGCTGTCCAGTTACTTGCGGGACACGTCCATTCTCGATTCACGTTACCCTTATTGACCTTATCGATCTCAATCAGCCAGTTGGCACCCATCCCCGTTCGTTTGCAGTAGAATACTGCCCCCACCCTTGCCCTACCGTTTATTTGGCCATTTTATCCGATTAAAATTACCACCAAAAGTTCCATGGTATACCTGCATTATTTTTATCAACTTTTGAAACGACATTGTTCTATGCAGCCGCCTACCACTAACCAACCAGTTAGGCTTACTTGTGTTCTCAATTGGTGATGAGTACTTCTCTCTTTCCTTCTTTATTCGTCAATGAAAATAACATAGCTGGATAAGTGGAGGCATACATTCCGTTCAGGTCCCACAAACCTCAGTAATGCATGCTACGGTCATAACTAATCATCTTCCGTTGCTCATAGAAACGCCATCACACCTAGTTTCTGCAAAACGTGTGGAAATCTTGAGATGCGGAGGACCTCCTTTCCGGAAAATGACCTTAGTCGAGTGCTTATTTGAAGGAGTAGTACATATGGTAAAGTGTTTTCATGAGTTCAGTCAGAACATTTGAGGTCGTAACAGATTCAGCGATGGTCTTATTTCGTTTGGACCATTTCACCACGAGTGAGAATACGAGACCCAAGCGATCGGATTTTGTCCACCGAATACGAACAAGACAGCTAGTTCACCCGTGCACATGGCACTAACCGCAAAAGTGGGTACACACTATTTAGCAGATCAACGTAAATGAGTTTGTTTCTCTGTTGTTGTCTGTCATGAGCCAACTTCATCTGCTTCACTTCTCATTTTGTTTCGGTTAATAGAATTTTGGATCAGCTACATCCAGTTTGAAGAGAAATCTGGCGACTGCACGCGCATTCCGGCAGTGAAATGGCGAGCGAGCAAAACCCTACTCCCAGAGCCGTACAGTCGATTTACTACTCTCCTAAACTCTGACGATCAGGCATAAACGGTGTGTGTTACATCTTTTCTTAAGTTACTTATGTAAATATATACAATAAATCCGGTATTTTGTTTTTCTACTCTGCAACATAAAATATGGTAGGGTTTTCTAAAATTCATCTTGTCCTGAGTATCAACAACCAGTGTTGAGTTTGGGTGAACGACTTCACGGACGTCATACGCTCACAGTCGGTGCGCTTTTGAACATCCTCAATGGTCTGCCGCCTTCCGGCAATTGAAATTCTGTGGTGAAGTACTTTCCAGGGCTCGTTTCGTGCCACACATTCGAAACGTTGGACGCCACCGCTTCTTGATTAACTACCGTCAACGTTAAAACCTGGTCGATATCTGAGGGCCATCGGGTCCCCCTCCAGTTGTGCGACCCCGCGTGATAGGACGCTGGTTTGGGAAATTGACTCGTGCATGCGGTTTATTTTTTTCGTTGCCAAAATTCTCATTCTCCATGTACCTCATAAGAATAGCCTTAGCAACGTTTAACCAACCAGGTAGACAAGGTGACATCTTCAAGGCGCGCGATATGCCCCTTCAGATTGCGACGACGGGTATATCCAAGTTTGATGTAGTTTTGTTGGGTTGCGGTGACGCAATCCTGGCAGAGACCGTGGGTTGAATTCTTTAAAAAGCTTCATTCTTGATAATGCCATCCCTTAACCATGACTCGGAAGAATTATCTTACTTTTTGATATGGCTTAATTTGGACGTAATTATCAAGTGCGTTGGATTTGTGCTTGTTCCATTTTGGTGGGCTTCGTTCAGAAACACGTGTTGTTTTGACTGAGTAGCATACTAGGGACGAGATGGCTTGGTGATTAGAGCGCGAATTCACTGACCGGAAGGCCTGGGGTTAGAGCCCGATTTCTGCATCTCGACTTCTACTGTCCAGGCTTGGGCAGCCTGGCAAGATCCCAGCCCCATGCTTTCTTCGGGTGGCATGGTAGTTAGACACCGAAAGGGTGTTTCAGCTGAACGAGTATCTTTGACTATCTTACTGAGAACCAATTATGCGACAAAAGGTGGAACATCGGATAGTAATTTCTCCCTGGGGGATTGCCCCACACATTCAAAGTGTGCATTGTGACGATAAAAGCAGTTGCAAAATTGAGAGTTGCCTACGTTGAGTCATCAGACTCTCCTTAGATGAGTTAGTCCAATTTTGCCAACCTATCTGGCGGATGGCCTGAAGTAAGTAAACTGTCTGTAAAACTTGGGTGCATTTCTGCCTTCGCGGAATTGTAACATCCTATCAGTGATCCGTCATTCAGTATGCTGCTGTCAGAGCCATCTAACTTCTCAATATCTGTTTTTCGATGGTCTTAAATTTAGGGAAGTACAGATTGCTCAGTCTGTTAAATAGCTCCGGTTATTTTGTGGACAACAGACAATCTCATGCGAAATGTAGAAAGTGATGTAAGTCCTCGAAATGCGGAGAGAGCCGCTCTGAATTTTGAACGATCGAGCTCATTGTTGAGTCCGTGACCCCACACAGCGCGCTTCTCAATGAGTGACCTTCACTTAGCTGATAGCAAGTGGGTTACAGCTGACGAAGGACGTACCAGTGATGTTGATCAGGTGGGCATGCCCTGAGACAGCTAGGTGAGTAACCCGGTTCAGCTGGAGAACAGCACGTGGTTCGGTGCTATACATATCTCTTAAGAACAACTGAAAAAGTTTAGGCATCCTGGAAACATGTAGTGGTTTCAGTGGCATTTTGCTGTCTGGTTCGGCTCAGTGTATGCCTGACGGCGATAAAGTTCAGAGATAGCGAAGATTGGAGCAAAAATATCGGGGCGTTTGAGACTTACTTGTTGTCGGAAAGACCCCAACCTCCTTGCGTCGCTCGTCTTACGTCGTCCTACGAAGGTGAAGAAAGGATTCAGGAACATCAAGCTAGCTTCCTGCAGAGAAGAAGGCTTCGGGTACCCCATATTTCCACTCCACTGAGTGATAGAACACCGGTAAGCATAAGGGCTTCCCGCAATCTTGGTGTTCCCTGATTTCGATTCTGTCGACCGGTTGGTTCTGTTCAACATGCTTGCGCAACAGGGTATGCATCAGAAGTTCGCTGTTTGTATTTACATGCTTGTAGGCGCTTGAGAATGTACGGGGAGCTATCCAGCCACTTTCCTACAAGCAGTGGTGTCTGTCAGGAATGTTCACTCCTTCCATTTTTGCTTAATTTCGTCATTGATGAGATAGAGTCGAGCACGAGGGTTTCCAAAACTGCGGCGTGCAGATCTCTTCGAGCGAGGGCCTCATCGCTGTGGAATATGCAGATGATACTATTATCATTTTTCAAGTAGAGCAAGCAGTACTTCAGCATATGCACAGTCGCTGCTAAACTTACAGTTTTTGAACGTGCCTCGAAGAATTGAGGGAATGACACTGGAAGTTGTGGAACACCGTGCGTATCTCGGAAGTTGCGTTATCTTAACTAGTAGTGTGACACGAAGTCAACGCGCGAATGTCGAAGGTATTTCAGTGGGTCCTAAAGGAGACATGTATCAGAATGTAGTGCGGACTGTATTGTTTTATGGCTATGAGGCCTTACCACTTCGGGTGGAACATATAAGACATCGTCAGGTCTTTGATCAGAACTATGGCCGGAATCGGTTGGAACCTGAGAAGTCGGAATGAGATTTCAGGGAAACTGATCTTTTGTGAAACAGATGGTACTTCACTCAAATTATCTAATAGTGTAAGCTAGGGTGGTTGAGTCATATGCTGAATTGTCACTTGATGAGACTAGCACTTTTTTCCATACCAAATTCGGAGAGGTCGAAACCTATAGGTGAACAGAATTCGACATGGCAGAAGGAAATGAGGGATTTTACGAAACTAAAAACTGTTCGTCTTCCAGGCTGGGATCCACGTGACCCTCCCTGTGTTTGGCTGGGAACATTGAATGATATGTTGGCTAACCGATGTCAATGGAGTTCGTGTCGGTCCCCATCCAGGTTGTTCGAAGAGAGCAGTAAAAGCTGTGGCGCTTTGTCCACGTAATGAGCATGCCAAATCATTGCCGAAAAGAATGCTGCTTTCCGTGCACAGTTCAAAGTGCATAGAGAGATTGTCAACCTGTGATCTGACAGGGCAATATGAATGAGATAACAAAGAGTCTGTATCGTTGGTGCGATTCATCTTCCATGATGGAATGAGCCCTTTGTGCTTGGTTGGAGGTGCTGCAAGATCTGGACGCTATGACTGATGAACTTTAGATAGCCGCAACGGCTGCATTGATAAAGCATCAGCCCCCTAGATGAGGCATCCTTACTGGATTTAACACCCGTAAATAACCGAACCTCTGCCGTTTGGCTATCCACCTCCATAGAGACCCGCATCGATTGAATAACCAACCGTCCGTTAGTTAAAATGTCTGGTCGCGCGCCAAACAACTGTGGCTCTGATCCGGCAAGACATTTTCAAGCAAGAGTTAACGGCCTTCCTATCTACAACGAATGGCCCATTTATGGTTACAAAAGCAAACCTAAGAGATAATCTCATCTAGTATTAGAAAAGCTTTAAACCAAAACCAAAGAAACACCAAAGCTTGCTATGCAATGCTTTGCGTGGAGCCTCAGAAGGAGAAAAGGATCGCAACCAGGAAGAACTAACCACGGCTGTAAACGATGTCGGTGCGGTTTCTGGGCGCTCACACAGAAGCCAATGAATATCAGAATAGTCTCTGTCTCTGATGGAAGGCGATAAACCCCTTCGGGCCACGAACCCAATTCACCGCACGGTTCGTTAAACGTCAGCTCGAGACAAGCACATGTATGGACAGAGGGGTACGTTGGATCCGGAAAATTCAAGAAACGGCGGAGAATAATGCAGTCGCGAAGTTGTTTCAGATAATCCACAGGACGAGACCTAGGCTACAAGCTGCTGATGATTTAGTTAAGGGTAATCATTGACGGTGTGAAGTAATTTGGGAACTCTAATAGAGATTTCGTATTCCAATAAAGCCACTCTATGATGAAAAGTCAAGGATCAGAGTACAGCTGTTTCATCCCTATTGGGAAACATCATCTCACGAAATTCCAGAGAGTCTCGAACTCACAACCGCCAGTTTGAACACTTAACCGTTCGGTCACAAGCGGCTGACCAGCAGTGTGATTGACTCGCATTTAGACAAGATATAGCGTGACTCATCCTTCAATCACTTGATACAGGACGCTTAGGGAAGCTGATAGCCCCTGTCCAGCCATCATCTATCAAACAACGCGTCGTTTCCATCCCAAAAGCCTTCTGGTCTGTGGGGAGAAAGGTCACGATATCGGAAAGGCCAAGCGAAAACGACAGCAGTCAGAATGATGGCTGTGGGCTCTTCGCACTTTCCTAACTGGGTACCGTGTGATCCTCCTTGTATGTATAGTCGGGAATCCAACAGGATACAATTTGTAACTGCTCCTAGTGTCAAGCGCGGTGTCATTGTCGAGCTAGAGTTTGTGTTTTGTAATGTGCTGGGTTTTATGGGCAAGGTTCGGTCAGTCCTACTGATGTCATCTTGCTCTGAATTTATGCGGAACCGTAATTACCTCGTTGATGTTCGAAGGCGCAGGTGCTTTTGCTTTACTCTCTGAGGTATTTGAATCTATGCCCTCTGTTCATTCATCCTTTCAGCCTACTCCTTATCGGGATATTGCTTTCTTGTTGTTGTGTGGCAGTCGAACGCCAGTATTCACTACTGACGTATTACTGTTGTTGATGATACTGAAGACTCATTCATATATGAGAAACGTGCTGTAATTTTATTTTCAGGTATCCGGATTTCTGTATCATCCGCGTACTGAGCTACTACTTCTTTCAGCAGATACTTTCAGAAGCAATTATTCCAACAGATCTGTACAGTGTCACTACTAATCATTTCACTAACTCCGCATATGTTTCGCAAGACAAACACCTCCAAAAACTATAATAAGCTAACTGTTTAGGCTTAGGGGAGAGAAGTAATCAAGTGATTTCAGCATTGACGAATTGCTTACGAAAATGAAAGCTCCAGTAAACACTCAAAGTCTTTCAACAAGCAGTTTTTCACAACTGTCACCGTGGTAGTCCCATAATTCTTTCCTCATGGGAGCACGGGTGATTGCTAGCTGTATCCGTTTTACTACTGAAGGAATCCATTCCACTGACCTTTTATATTTTATCTCTCCTAATTGGAATCACTGTTCTAGCAAAAGTACATGGGTTGAAACAGGTTAGTTCAGAATATAGGTCCAATCGGTGGTTTCACCTAGCGAAACATGAACTTGACTCATTATTAGCGGGCTTCCACTTCTGGATCAACTGCCACATATTTTTTTCACGCGCCGCTCTAAAGTCGACCCCAGTAGATCTTGTGGCACCATCATCGGTTACGTATGCATATTGGTTCCCATACGAAATTACTCAACCACTCATCCTACACGAAACCCCGTGTCGCTGAAGTTACCTTGAGCTAAGGAACACTGTTGACCGGAAATGTAGGGGTGATTTCCTGAAGTGGAGTATTTTGATAAAAATTCAAAAATGAAATTGTTTTACCTACCCTAACCCCGTCAGAAGGCAGGCACCTCAGCAATCTTGTAGGCAGACACCCCATGGGCGGCCTTGCACAACAAACGCGCACTGGTGATTCACAGTTTATTGGGAGGAAGGGATGACTACCAATCAAACGCATTCTATCCGTTTCAGGGTAAAGAATATCGGATTTGACGAATTAGTTTGAGGAATAAGACCGTCCTACACTTCCAAGAACTTAACTGTGATGTTTTGATCGTATCTATCAGGAAGGTCAGATTCCTGAAATCAACCACTGAGTGCCCGACATCTACTGAGACTCTCAGTTCCGCTAAATGTTGACCAGACAGACAACGCCCTCTCAATATACAGTGCTTGACAGCCTCGTACCAAAGCCAGACCGCGTGCGTCAGCATTGGACCAAGTTCAGACAGTCTCCCTCCAATAAATAGCTTGAAACCGTTGTACTTTCGCACTCGCTTGTTCGGAATGTAGCTGTTCTGTTCCCTTCTGTGAGTCTTTTCAGGCAACTGGGCACTGGAGCGGGTCAGCAGTCAGATACAGCAGACTGGTGAATGAGCAGATATAGTAGTATTAGAAAAAGAAAACAGTATATTTGGTTCATCTGGGTAGACTACAAAGAGTGGACAACAATGAAGAAATTTTGTGAGATAAGTGTGAATGGCAAATGGCCACAACAGCAAGCGGCTCTGATGATCCGTGTTCGTTTGTATGTGTGTGTGTGCGCCTTACAGTGTTTGGTTGAAACGTGTCCTTTTTATTGTGTGATACGCTGATGGTTGATTTCCCACCAGACCGAGTTCACATTTCCGGTCCGTCTAAGTAGGCCTCATTGTACACACCGTCCGCTGTTCCAATGCTCTGGAACTTGTTCAAGTCATTGTCAGACGCTGTGTAAATCTCTGGTTGCTCTTCTTCGTCTTCTGTGGCCTTATTCTTGCCACCACTGCAGCACTGCGTCAGGTACTTGATTTTCGCCACCAGTTCATCTTGAAGCAGGTTGAAACACATCGACAGCAGGGCCAAACCAAATAATATGTAAACCGCTCCGATAAGCAACTGTACTATTGTATTGGGCTAGAAAAATGGAATGAATAGTCTGAAGTTGAGCTGTATTGCTACACAGTCGAGTGCCTAGATAACCATGGAATTTCACTTCCAGTCAAACTGCTGACGGAAAACTGCTCTGAAACTGACTAAATTACGAGTTTCGGTATCTCAGAAAACAGCACATGAAAGTTTCAAACTTAGATCCTGGTTAATGTCTAAAGGGGGATAGCACACGAAATAAGTGCCGTTGCAACCCACAGTGTGACCATGTAGAAAGTAAGTGTGGAAGTAATCACGATGTCAGTTGGCGTGACTCATCTCACCTGGATCACAACACATCCAAAGATCTCTATGGTTCATGCAAACTTCCTCGGTGGGCCTTCATAACGCATATCGCTGGATTTATAAGTGGCTCACCCCAGCCACAGTAAGCCTTGCTCATTTTCGAATAGTATTTGATTCGTCGCAGGTAGCGGTTTTAGATCGGCCGAGAGGAAACGAGGCGGTGTCCAGTTATCAGCAAAATGGTCTGGGTCCAAAAGTACAAAATCCAAGCAGAGCAAGATCAAACTGACCACACACACACCAACTCAAATCCAATTGACCCGGCACCCGTCGACGCACACAGGCGAACGACCGCCAAGAAAAATAGTCCATTAAGGTGTCCTAGACCGGAAAAGTAAGTCCGCAAAACCCGATTTCAACACGAGGACAATTCCCCCTAACCAATTTATTGTAAATGTTAGTCATCCCCGCTAACCAACAAACGGGAACTTCAGACAAGTACCCAGCAGTGATCAAGTCGGCTAGGCCTAGGAAATCTCACGGACTGCTTCCCTGACTGTCTTAAAACCCGATCAATCTGGTTACTTACTCACTTGGCCAGACGAAGCTCTTGTGTCAAAAGTGAAACTTTGCCCAGCAATAAATCCACCGATCGTTTACCAAACCTCTCTGAAACGATCATGGAACTCCTTGAAAAAAATATTTGGGAATTGTTCAGAAATGAATGTCTTACCTAGCAGGGTTTTTGTGGATGAGTGAACAATGGCAAAATTGATAACCACAATAAAATTTGAATATCGCTGAAAGCTTAATTTTAGGTACGTTTTTTAGTCTTAGAGTTACGGAAAATATAACCCATGAAGCAGTGAAACGGCATAAATAGACGGATTTGGATGACAGCACGGAGGCAAACAACGAGACTATGGTAAATCAATTCGATACTTTATGCATAGCCCACTGGTTCGAACCGATCGATAGAAAATGTTTGAAGAAATCAAAGAAGAGGCTGAAATATCATTAACGTAGAATGTGCTAAATATCTGGTCACGAAGAGTTCACACATATGTGAATGTGTGAAGTGGCTCTAGTATTGTGTACTGCCGCCTTCCGGTTTCGAGTGTAAAACAGGAATCAAGAATAGTGTTTGAACGATCTATATCAGTAGGAATTTAAGGCTCATACTGAATAGTAATTCGCAGTAATTCGAGTGGGAGAATTCTAGGAGTATAGACTGTTTCCAGCAATCTGTTGGACCACGTTAAGTTACGCGGAAAGCCCCAAAAGCCAAACCGTTCAACTGGAAGTTTATCTACATATGCGGCTCTATAAATACAGTAATAAAATAGTAAAACTTTACAGACCTCAAATCGTGGGACTACGCCGGCTTCTATACACCGGTTTAGGAACTGCCAAATCCTAACGGATCCCAAAATCCACACCGACTCAAAGGCACGTGTTTACAAGATAGCGAAACCACGTTTTAACTTAAACAACACGTCCGATGGCAAGGTTGAAGAACGGTTTACATTCAGGTCAAAAACAAGAAAAGTGGTTTAGGCGCGGAACCAAAACAACAAAAATGGGTAATCGCGTCGCTCCACATAAAAAATAGAAGAAAGAAATCAACAAGGAGCTGGATTGTAACCCGGCTATTGCATTACAAGACATTTGAATTTGTGAATGTTACTCAATTTGGCGTCTGAAATAATTGGTTTTTGGCAACTGTCTTTATTTTTTATTCGTGCCGGGACAGAAATGATAGCACATTGGTTCACAAGTGGTGAAACACACTTACTTGTAAATTGTATTTGTTATTTTACCAATGATCATTGAGACCATAACATTAAACCGCAGGTTTATGCAACTAGGATCACGTTGTACACAACGCCACGGATTTCTGTGCATCTGCTCAAATGGCAGCAGTTAAACGCAGTTTCCTTTTTGGACTTATCTGCCCGCGCAGCAGCATAAACACGCAATCGATATTTCTGGAAATTCTAGGATGGCCCTTGTTGTTGAATGCGCTTTACAGTGGACTGTTTATAACCATGTCCATGTCGAACGAACCATGCTCATCTTCGTTGGAGCAAGTGCCCTTACTTACTTACTCATGTTAACTGTTGCAGGCCTAACTGTAAATCGTATGATAGATTAGGATTACACTGTGTGGTGGAATTAGTCTATTGGTTATGTTGGGGACGCCTACAGTGGAAGGAACGGGTCAGTATGAACCGCATTTGGAAATATAGACTTACGTCTCCCAGACGTCCATTTCCTGGCACCAAATCACCCAGTCCAATGGTTGCCAAGGAGATGAAAGAGAAATAGGCAGCATCCATAAAGGTCCATGTTTCCCAGTTTGGAAATATGACACCACCGAGGGCTGTGTAACCTGTCATCAGAATGATGCTTACTATGAGTGGAACAGCAACGACTTCGCCATTTATTCCGGCATTATCCAGCTCATCATCCTCGTCAATGACCGTAGCCTGAACCTGTAGGAAAAAACACATATGCTATAACGCAGACCTACGAACCAAAATGTCATGTCTGTTAATGACCTTTTCCGTTGTGGGATGACTGAGAGCTAGATGTTGAACAATCTAAGTATGAACAACTGCAACTGCATAACGACTTTGCATGTCCTTCCTTATTTGTCCTGTGTGAGGAATACCTTTTGATGGATCTGCATGTGATATGTATACACAGACAACGAAAGTAGCAGATTACTAATGAGTAGTGTGGATTCTTTGGAATCCTTATTTACGTCGCTATCCTCCGAACAACTTTACTTCTATCCTGGCAAGATAATCCCGGTTTTCCCGTACCAAAGTGAGGGACCAGTTGATCTCTCATTATAACTCATCGACACTACACATCCTTGGAACTATGAACAATCGACTTTCAGGGTTAAGGTGTTACAAGCACTCCACTACAGCATGCCACAGTCACCTGAATCAACACGCTTCAGCGGTTTGTGTATGCACTTGATATCCTTTTCTTGTGAGAACCTCGTTAAAGTTTACAGCGAGATGCCAAAATGTATTTGATTGCGGAGAAATTTACCAGTAGATAACGTACAATAGTTAACTCACAGAGCGATCTAGACACTGTGAGGTTTCCAAACTTGCTCGTGAATTTTGTTTTCTAAAAATGACTTCGGATTCCCCCTCACAAAGGCCAGGCACTTCAAAATTTCTGGCTCTCCAGTAGAGGGAAACACTCATTTGCACACGAGTTTGATATTGGTCCAAGTAGAACACAAGGTTGATGAACGCTCGAGGATTGCGCCTACCTGATGAGATTCAAGAAGGGCGAAATCGGTCGTGGGCTGAGGATGAGTTTTCAGCAACCCTATGAGTAGTGTGTTACGTCTAGACTACAACGTATCGCGATGTCTCAGATATCGTATCAACTGGAATATAGGGCGACCTAGTACGGCACATTCAGCTGAAGCAGACCATCATACACGAGAGAACGAGTTGATTTCAGTTGAATTTTCCGTCAAAAACAATTTGGCATGGGAGTACTTGTCTCCTACTGGTTTGGAGTCATCACCAGTGCCCACCTGGAGGATTCCAAAGAGGGTCTGATTGGTCGTGGCTGATCGCACCTAGGCAGAATATAGCGCTATCAGTCTGTCAGCCACGCGATTCCCATCAAGTGGTTCCGTGTAATTAAAAGTTCACGTAACTTGGGAGATTTTATCGTTTCTGACCTAACTGTCTATAAGTCATTGGCAACCGGAGGAGAACTTAAAACTGCAGTAGAATTTCACCATGCAAATGAAATCAAAGAATACTGAAAGGCACGACACAATGACCATCTTGTTGATCAGTATACTATTTGGTTTTACGTGTCTGGCCAGTAATTTGGGGCACGCACCCATACCGCCACTCATTGGAAAACGTAGTGTTCGGAACACCCTCTAGAAAGGTGAGATTCACCTTGATGGTGCTCAACAATAATGAAACATCTGTGTAATGTTTCTTGACTTTCCAACTCAGGTTAAATAGGGCAAAACTTTTTGACTACTCACCAGTGGTCGAAGTTAGCTGGTTGTTAAATTAAGCTGGTTAGACAAAAGCAGGCTAAATTGAGCTCAGATTAATATTTCATGATCATCATTATTTCACGATAACTTCAGAACTGAACGTTTTCCGTTTGTTCTGTTGCATTCACTTCACAAATCGTTCAAAAGTTACACCTAGTCATTTGTTTCGTCCATTGTTCTTGACCACAAACTGGGGTCTTCTATTTTAAAGGTGTGAAAAAGACAATCAGATGAATCCTGAAGGATGCATCACTTGAGAGGGATCAACAATCTGTCTTACTGGCCCATTAAACAATGAACTCTACTGTGTCACGAGCGTACAATAGACGGTACTGACGTGGCAACCGTCTCACATGGGTCTATTGTTTCTGTTGTCCTGTACACGAGAACAATTGAAAAGAAATAGATAGAAACGGTTGTCATGGAAATCCTATTAAACCAGCTAGAAAACAATTTATATGGTCTAGCAAAGCAAGTAAATGAGATATTCGGGCTAAGTGCACTTGTATTTGAAGAACAGTAAACATGCGAACAGTAAGCAGAGTTGCCCAAGGAGTTAAATTTAGACTTGGTTCGCCCAGACCTGTGGTTTTTCTCTTAGTGCTTGGCAGACGGCAAATTGCTCATATA